CTTGAATTCTCCTTCAGTCAGCAATTTAATTCGACCTAGCTATGTAGCAAGTGCCGAAAATCCTGCTACCGTCGGAACTTAAACCAGAGGACCTCGTGGTCAAAATCACTGCACTGACATCAGTTGATGCCCTGAGCCACCTCAGCAGGTGATTTGTGGGAGACGACGTGAGTACGGAGGCGGTAGTGCGGCCAAATGGCGGAGGCCGGTGAGAGCGTAGCTGCAAGCTGGGTTGAAGCAGGGCAGTTTTGGAGTCTGACTTCCGTCAAAATTGAACGCAATAAAAAATAAATAAAGATTTGGCCTAGACGATGCCAGCAAAGGAAAATACATAAAGTGTGGTGAGATCAGGCAAAGGTAGAATGCTGAGACTGAGACGACTACGGAAGATAGTATTGAGAAACGGTAGTGATATCCATGGGACAAAGAGATGGAAACCCCATGAATCAATGCCTTCGTTGATCACCGGCGCCACTTAATCTCTGAATGACGTACGATTCAAGGAAGGGTTCTTCGGTTGCATGGAAGTCACGTAACGTTATGGTTGACGGATGGAAGAAATAAAATTTTGGAATCTGCTGCCTGTTAAAATTGAAAATAATGAAAAATAAATAAAAGACGTAAACCACGGAAGCAGGAAAAAAGGCGAACACGTGAACGTGAAGACGATGAGATGAAAGAAGGATGCTCAGTCTAGGAACATATGTTGTTGAGGAATTGGGCCGCAAAAGCAGGCGAGGGAAATGGAAACTTCGGCATTGGAAATGCAACATTACCCATGCCCTCGTTGATCATACACACCATTTAAACGGGCTCTTGGAATTCAACGTAACACGGTTCCTAGGTAACGAAATACGTACTTGGCTGGCGGAAGAAAGAAAATTATTTAGCGATTTAAATACTACATTTTATTATGACTGATCACTAGGTCGGCACATTTTATTATGACTGATATCGGCCCGGGTACTCTTCATATTCCACAACCTTCTTTGATCAATGTTAGAACCCTTATCGTTCTTAAATTACGTAACACGAACAGGTTGTGAAATGTTTTAACAAGTCAAAACAGCCTTGCGAAATAAATTGTCCCTACGTCTTTTTCGTATCCGCACGTGCGGTGCACTCCTTCAACTGCGCCACCCGCGCCCCCAACCCCGCAGTCCCAGAAGCGCGTGTTCGCGCAGAGGAGGAGTTTCCGCGTGAGAAGGCAAACTTTTGCGCGGGGGCGGCCCCACTCCCACCCTCCCGCCACGCTACCCCGTTGAAGCGGTGCGCAGCGGCGAGGCCGCGGAGACGCACCCAGGGAAAAGTAGCAAGGTCGCACCCAGTGAAAAGTACCAAGGTCGCACCCAGTGAAAAGTACTAAGGACGCACCCAGGGAAAATTACTAAGGACGCACCCAGGGAAAAGTACCAAGGACGCACCCAGGGAAAAGTACCAAGGACGGCACGCAGGCGACGTGAGCGGGGCACGAACAGCTGGACCGGGGGTGCGAGTGGGGGCGTGGGTGGGTGCGGTTTGGCGACAAGCAGCCAGCGCGTCGCGGGGGAGACGGATACGCTTGCAGCGTGATGCGGTGGGGGAGAAGGCGAGCAACACGTGTAGGGGGCGTGGCTAGCTGCACGCGCCGGGCGACCGGAGACGCGGCAGCGCGGCGCGGAGACGCGGAAGGGGGCTTTCTGGAAGGCGGGGTGCCCGGAAGCAGGAACCGAGGGGAAGCCGTCGGCGTCGGGGGACTTCCAGGAAAAGGTGAGAGCGAGTAGAATGCGGAGAGTGGGGCGCCGTTTCGAGAAAAAACGACCGCAATTTCTTGCGAAGACGTTGCAAGAGTAATAGAAGAGGTACCGAGGGAGTTGACGTGATAGCGATTTGGGAAAGTATCGACAGATCCACACATGAGTACGATGAAGGGAAACCACCTCCAGGCTCCAGAGGCGCACCGGCTGTTTAGTTCAGAATGGCCCTGCCTCTGCAGCGTCCCCGACCCGGATGTGCTAGGTCCTTCCCGTCCCGTCGGTGGCGGATTTCAGACACTAGATAGCTAAGTCGAATTCAGCCGTTGTGCGGAAGAGAATTACAACGGGCGGCTGCTTAGATCGGTTGGTTTCTCCGAATAATAAGAAGCGAATGTCTGAGCAAACGAGCACAGAACCGCACGCTACCTTTCCTTCCCCTTCCTTTTCCTAACTTATCCCCACGCATGCACACACACTTACATTCACTGCACAAAGAGATGTCGGGAGACCAATCGCGACCTTAGCGCTTGTCCCGACTGCGGTCAAGCCACGCTGGGGGAGATGGAGGGAAAATTCCCTGGAAGCCGACGAGTAGACCGGCAAATACCACTAACAACGAGGGAGTATCATCACCAACCCCCGCGAAAATACACCTACTCAACTAAGGGAACTAATGACCATATCATTTGCCGTGAATTGAAACGCGGGAATTGGGAAAGTATGTTGGCGGTCTACAAGGAGGTCCAGATCGCCGGCGGAAGTGTAAGGACGTTCGAATGCGTTGAAAACTGGATGCGGCGAGGGGTTGTTGGGGAGTCGGTGCAGCAGTAGAGAGGTAGCTGAAAGGAGATTTCAAATGGAGGACGTGGATGTAGGAATCACACCGGAGAGTGTGCAGTGGGTGTGGCGGAGGGGGTTGGTGGGCAAAGATGCGGCGGACCCAGTGTGACGGAGCGGAGCAACGCGTGGTAGGGAGGGGGGATGGGCCGGCGGCAGTGCGAGAAATGGTGGCAAGCTCGAGGCAGGACCTGTGGCAGGCCTAGAGCAGACACGCGTGTGAGGAGCAGCGGGTGAGGCAAGAGGGGCGGAAATGGTGCCAGACGGAGGGACGTATGCCAAGGTGCAAGCGGGTGAAAGGAGAACTTGGGGCAGCTTCAAGGAAGGGGTGGGTTTAACCGGAGAACGGACGGCGCAGCCAGGGCCGAAATGGCGGAAATGGTGGCAGACGCGAGAGAGTATTCCAGTGTACGGGCAGGCGAAAGAGGGTACTCTTGTGGCAAGAACCGTGGCAGCACGGGCTGGCAATGGGTAGGTGTGGGGGTCGGCCAGAAGGCCGCAGCGGATGAGGCGGCTATGGTGGTAGACGTGGCTAAGGCGGGCGCGAGAGTAGCCAGTGACTGGCGGGTGAGGGGTGCGGGGGCGAGCAGCCGAAGAGGCGGATGGGGCGAAAGCGTATGGAAAGGTGAAGGTGAGGGTGGACATACTAGAGGAGAGAGTGAAGGAGGGGGGCCGGACAGTTGGTACGGTGCGCGGGGGAGGGGGAGAATGTGGGCGGAAATGGCACAAGCGTTTGAAGACGAAGGCGCGGGTGGGTATGACGGGCAGAGCTGAGGTGCGAGATGGACCCATTGGGAGGCAGAGGGAGCGGTATACATGGCGACGAAGGTGGGCGCGGGAAGTGGCAGGGACTGTTGCGGCACCGGGCAGCGGGTACGTACACGAGGGCGAGCGAAAGTGGGGCCGAGGCCACCCACTGTGCCGGGGCAGAGGAGTGTCGTGGGGCGGGTGTGCGTAGTGCAGGCTGGGGGCGTCTCTGTCCATCTTCCGCGGGCGAGGGGGCGGGGCGAGGGCCGGTCGCGTGGCAGGGGAGGGGGTCCTGGGGTGGACGCGTATGGGAAGGTGAAGGTTGAAGTGGAGGGGCGGGGCCGGCGGTAGAAGGAGTGTGCGGGGCGGGCGCAGGGGGGAGGGACGGGAGCGGGGCGGCGCTGCGTCCCTTCGCACAGGGGGCGGGGTGGGGGCGCGCGCTGCGAATTACCCCGCCCCGCTGGCGGCCCGGGCGGCGGCGCGCGCCGGCTGCGGGGGCGGAGGCGGAGCCGGCGATGGGGCGGCGGCGGCGGATCGTGCGAGCCGCGGCCCGGGCGGCGCGGGCCGGGCCACGCAGGGCCCCGGCAGCCGCCCGCGCCCGCGCCGGCGCCCCGACGCGCCCTGGGCCCACGCCCCCAAAAATGGGGCCAAAAGTTTCGGGAATTGAAACACCTTGCGGGGTTTGGGGGAAAGAAAGAAAGAAGATGTCCGATATTTCCGGGAACGTCTTCGTATTCTCACTTTTACAGACATTCTCAATGTAGATCCAGAAGGAACTTGTCACATACTCAACTTTGCAAAAAGAAACTTCGAAATAAGTAGTTTTCTAAGGATGCCGTCCGCGAAGTATCTTCGTACGATTCTCAGTTTTACGAAAAACATTTAGTACAATTAAATTATTACTTATCGTCATTACATTGGTCAAAGCCTTCAGAAAGTTGTCGTTTGGATTCTATCAAAAACAATGGTATTTTTACAATTTACAAGTTCTCTCTTTTAATGCACCACATAAACGTTCTAACAATATGAATCGTAATATTTTTGAATTACTTTCTTAATAAAAGAATGTAATGATACTGCACATAATCATATTAAACACTGATGAATTCATCCTTTCAAGGTAAAGGTCTCTTGCACTCCTTTTCCCTATATTCTTCGTTTTGGACCACAATGCCTCAGTCTCAAACAGACGTCTCAGCGTTTCCACTCCCGCTGGCCGGCGGTTCACTACAGTTTAGAAACCAGAACTGTGTACATCAAACTCAGAGCATTTAGAAGGTAAAATGATTTTACGCATGAGAGACTTTAGTCAAGGATAATAAAATAATTTGTCATGAAAATATGAATAAATTTAATTTCTTCATGCATATTAAAAGATATATAAAAATGATAAAACCTTAATTATTCATTTATTTCGCAAGAGGAAAATATTGCTACAAGTGACATTCCAACGTTTCTCGACACATTTCTCGCAATACAAGCGCCGAAAGACATTCGTTGAAAACCGAATATTCTTTGTACTTTGTTTTATATTCATTTATGTATGTCATCCATGAAAAAAATGTATTCCGGTGGTATAGCTTGATTAAAATTCAGATAAATGTTTTCTGTACTACTTGGGTTTCGCTGTCATTTCAGAAACGGAAACAAAACAGTTACACATATTTAAGATACATATTTGTTCGGTGAAATACGTGTTTGGGAAACAGCAAATACATTACGGTTAGCGCCTTTTCTTGTCACTGAAACAAAAATAAAATAAAATCTATACAAAATAAATAAAACCTAGATGTTTTCGGTTATGTTTGCAACAATAAAGTACAATGAATACAACAGTAATAACAATAAAATACTTGAATAGAAGGTTTACTATGAAATTAAAAGCAATATTTGAAGTTAAATATGTGAGAACTCTCTCTATCGTTCTGAATCAGAAGTAAACGTTAAGTAGAAAATTTGAAAAATAATTAGTGCTTACAAGACTGATTCATTATACATTTTTACATATTTCTTGTTTTTTTCCTCCCTTTAAAATTACTTGCATGGAACGGCACGTTTTCCGCATTTTGGATCATTTGTCAGCCGACCGCCCAAAAATATTCGCACAACGGAAAAGAAAAACTGAATATTTACATTTTATAATTCGTTATCACATTATATTTATTTCATTTAACACATTTTAAAAATATTTCTCACGGAATGATTGTGTTTTGACCCCATTTCGAAGGAAGGAAGAAAATTGGCTCAGAAGAACATTTTCACTTTATATTGTTTATGATGCGTTTCACTTCAGTTTAAATGCCTGCTTGGGGTGCGGATGCTAAGATGGGGAGTATAGGTGCGAATTGGGATGTGAGGTCTGTAATGTGAGGTGTGCGATGTATGACGTTCGGTGTGTGGTGTGCGGAATTCACAATGTGGTGTGCAATGTGTGGCGTTGGGTGTGGGGTACGGAATGCCATATGTGGTGAGCGGTGTCTGATGTGTAGTGCTTGGGGAGTGCCGTGCGGAATGCCATGTGGAGGGGGGTGCGGCCTACAGTGTGTGGGGACGCCATGATCGGTGAATAATGTGCAAAATAAGGTATGTAGTGTGCTGTACACAGTGTTTGGTGTGCCGCGTGAAGTATGCGGTGCGGTGTGCAGTGCGGTGTGCCGTGCGGTGTGTGGTGCGGTGTGCGGTGCGGTGTGCGGTGCGGTGTGCGGTGCGGTGTGCGGTGCGGTGTGCGGTGCGGTGTGCTGTGCGGTGTGCGGTGTACTGTGTGGTGTGTGCGTCGCGCAGTGTGCGGTGCAGCTTGCACGTTTGGAGTCGTTTCGCCCCACTGTCTGCGTATCTGCGCTGCGCTGCGAGGGGGGGGGGCGACGCACGTGGCATGTGCTAACTCAGCAAGTGGCTGTTCAATTACCAGAGACAATGCGCCGCTTGATAATATATGATTCGGCTATGGGTAGAAACGTTTCAAAAGTCATTTAATTCCACTCGTGTTCCCCTTTTTAGCGCAAATCGAAGTCATACATAAAAACACTCCCGGTCGGTGGTCATGCGATCGCATGAATGGACGAGTGAGCCGACATATGGACAAATAGATGTCATTCACTGGAGCTGCAATGCATCCGTTGGTTCAGAGGCTGCCGCAGAACAGTATATTTTATAATAATGGGCGAATCTTCTCAAAAGAGTAGGCAAATTGTTTTGAGAAACGTTTAAAATTTAAATTCGTGTTGTTAAATGAAAACTCTTCATAGTGGTAGTATTTTTCTTTGAAATTTGATAATCAGAGCTGATAAACAAATTCTAAATACAGATAACAATATAAAACAAAATGAATCAAGGTTCAATAGAAACTGGTTTATTAACTGCAGGTATGTTGAAAATTTCTATAATATTCATTACGTTCCTAGATAAAGTGTTTAAATTAATTTCTCTGTATCTTTTTAACGTTATCATGTCCGTTTCCTCCGAAAAAGCCAACAAACGTTTTGAACAATTGAGCAAGTCAAAAATTGAATTAATTCACGTCAAGCCTTCTTAAGGCGTTTCCAACAATAAAATTTAACTTTCTATACACATAGAGAAAACATGTTTTGCGTAATATTTACATTCTTAAGCAAATAGGTCTTTTTATCCAACAACTCTTCGGGTGGACTCTAAACGTATAAAGAAAGAAGTGAAGGTGACTGAGAAATCTATGTCTCGGGTTTTCAGTAAACTCGTTTTGTGGTGTGCATGACGTTGTATTACGTGCTATAAATCTGCAACACGAGGCCATTAGTACCGCATCTCGTCCACTCCGAAGAAAGAATTATGGACTGGGCGCGTTTTAAAGTGGGCCGTTTCCTGCCGGATTCCAGCCACAAAACGTGCCTTACATGCGGCTGTTGAATCTTGCCACAACAAAAGGGCGAAAAAAAACAATCGACGTATACAATTTTTTCTTTTATTCTGACTAAATATATTGTTATTAAAATAATTTGTAAATCGAGAATACTGTATGCGTCTATTTTAAAGAGTTAGTATCCTTTACAGCAATAAAGAAAGTAACTACTGTTTTGCAGAGATGAGCCAATTAAAGCAACAGCGACCGCAAATATTACGTCCAATATTTCTTAAGGGGATCACTTCTTAGGGGATCACTTTAAAATAATATTTTAAAGTGATCCCCTACTTCTTTTAATATATTATTTAATAAAATTCCAGTTTTGTAAAAAATGCCATACATAGAAGGACTTTATCACAGTCGGCAACTAAGTCACTTGTCGTGAAATGTCGGGAGTAAGAGTCTTTCGTGTGTACATATTATGGGCAAAAACAGCGTGTATCGAATGCGCAGCTCCATATGCAAACATCAGCCTTGTTCAATATCATCTCCTTCCTTTCACCTCACCATTTTGTTCTCTGGAAAGTGGGATTAATAATGGAATTCAGTGCCATATCTTCGCACATACATTCGCCATATCTGAGCACATACATTTGAGTCACACAAAATATAAGCTGGTAATAACAAGGGACTTTACAACATCAGATAATACAGGATACGTTTGATCGAGTTCTTGAAAATGTAAAAAAATGTATTTTGCATAATAGATACTAGACAGTATAATTGTAAATTAATTTAGTACGAATATAAGTCCAATATTATCAGAATTTGTTTCATGAATGTAGAATGACTTTGGTTAAGTATTAGAAGCCCCAGAGCATAACATTATATAATTACTACATAACTGGATTGAGCAAAGGAAGGCGCATAGTTGTAAACGAGGCAATACTGGTGCACTGTCTCACTGCTTAAGGTGTGTAGAATGGAATACATCAAAGTTATTACCACGAAAGAGACTGGCCCATTCTGTCTGGACACGAGAGCATTCGTGACTTGCCTGTTCTTCCTCAGCTTCATTGATCTCTCTCTGGCGTGAAATCCATCGCAAATATAGGCTTTACACCGATGATACCTTCTCTAAATAAAGAACCAAGCTAACACTGTAAAGTACTTCTTCAACTCTTCAATCCATGCATACACAGCTTTAAAATTAATAAGTGGGACTTAGGAGATTCAGAGTCATCGTCGAACATTTATTTAAATCTCTCAAACACCCTACATTTGAAATTGAGAATGATGTACCACGAGGAGTAATCGTAGTCATCCTATTTTTGCTTACAATAAGCGGTGTTAACCAAAGCACTGAACCTCCGATTATTGCTAGGAAATATGCTGACGTCTTAACAAATTTTAGAAAATGTAAACTCAATGTAAATTGAAACAAGCCAAATAACAATGCAGTCAACCTTGAATAAAACGTTTGCCAGTCTCAGAAACCCGAGTACATATTTTTCAAAACAGAAACATTTAAAAATTCAGTCTTGAAATTTAGAGTTAAATTGCTAAAATTTGTTGAAAATATTGAGTTTCTTGAATTGCGTTTTAATTCAAAGATAACCTAAAAACCCACATGAACAAGCTAGGTAGTGAATCCAAAAAAACAAAGAAAACAACGACTATATATTCTAAAATCAATTACAAACAAAACTGGGGAGTTGATAAACTCATTCCATACGAACTTACAGAACCATTATTTGGTCCAAAATCAACAGTGGGACCATAACCGAACATCAGGAAACAAAAATCGTCATAAAATTGATGGTTTCCTTTTCCGTCTTCACCTCTTAAAAGTCATGGAAATTTACCTTATCTAGTACTATCAATCGTTAGGAGGCTTCTGAGCTACACCAATAGGAAGTGTCCCGATCAAAGCTAAAGAACAGTCGTTAGCCCAACGAAGGAAACCTTTAATCTCAAATTACGCAATCAAAGCTTCTACATAAAAAAACAATTATACTAAAAGATGTGTTTCCCATAAATGCAATTATAAAATACCACAACCTAGCTACAAAAGAATAAAAAATGTATGAAACAAATTAATTTTAAAAGGTCGAAGATGAAAAAGGAAAAATAGTGTGTAATTGCCATATGGACATTTCCTGGTTGCAAGTCTATGTTGACATATGTATACATAGAGTTATACCAGTGTCTGTCAACATTGGTATAACTCTATGTACACGAGAAAAGTTGCGTTGTAATGAATAGGAGACGAAATTCGAGGAAATGCGATCAAATACAGCGACTTCTATCAAACTTACACTTGCTAGACTGATGGAGTGAAAAACAAACACGGAGATGTTGCTACCATTTAGTCTTCCGTTATCATACCAAATCTAGCCCTCAATCCACTAACTTTAGGTAAGACATCAGAGCTACACGCTATATCAACGGCCACGACACGGTGTGCCGCCTCTAGTAGTATGTTTCCACGGTTAATTATCAAATTCCCCAATATAGTTACTCCATTACATCTCACGCGCATCATTGAAAGCTTTATTACCAAGTGAACATTTTCTGAACGTCTCCCCGGGGCTCTCTCCGCACCTTTCACCATCAAAGCAGGAGTACCCCCAACAATCCACCCTCTCTCCCACTTTATTTAATGTTTACCCACCGGATTTACCAATGACCAATTTTTCAACTGGCACATTGAAATAAATTCAAATAAAAGCCAGGCAAAACTATTTACTCTTCGAAGACCAGACATCCCCCCAAATCTCACATACCAATCACAAAACATCACCTGGCTTCCTCCCAACAAAACTGTCAAATATCTTGTAGTTTTATTCGATAAAAGACGTACATGGCGGTAAAGTCTCAAATACGGAATAGGGCTAGCGACTAATTGAGTGCACCAATTATATACAATTCTCAAAACATTCTCCCCCAGACAAATATATCTTGCTATTCATCTCTATAAAGCAATGATATGACCCTTACTTTCCTAGGATTCACTAGTCTGGGTAGCCGCAGCCAAAACAAGTATCAAAAAAATGCTTTTTTTCAAAATATATTCTTACCCACTATCACAAACACGCCTTGGTATATTTCGAATGCACAGTTACATCATAATAAACTTGGCATTACATCCATACACCCATCTCCGTCCACTTCTCCCTCTTATTCGTACAATTCTGTTTCAAAAAATTAAAAACCCTTCCGCTATTCATTTTCACATTGCCGGAGTCTTAAGGGAGGTCGGTAGTATAGGAATTTGGAGAGATATTAAAATGAAACCTATTAAACTGGGGATTAAATTAGCAGATGAACAGGCTGACACACGTAATGGCTTAAAGGCCTTCGGCCTAGCCACATAGGATCAATCAAAATTAAAAAGGACAATACCAAGAGAAATTTTGGAGTCGTTATAGACAGGATCTCATGTGTCTTTGCTCTGTTTACTCTGTTTATATCTGTTCTCTCTCTGTCTGTTCTCACTATATTGTATAATATCTAATACTATAATTCAGTTTTAATGTATCAAATGATTCTTTCATATATCTCCCATCAATGTATTAATCTTATGCGACCGCAGAGAGCCAATGGCCAAGCTAGAATAAATTTTTAAAAACGTAATATCCTAAATCATATTACATTCACTGACTCACTATCTTGTTTGCAAAATTTAAATAAACATACAGCAACATCAGAAATACTAAATCATATACCACGAAAAATGCACTTTAGTTTATATAAAACAGGAAAAAAATAGTAATTGTACGGAATTGCGAGCTCTTAATAGACAGTATTATATATTCTTAGGACTCGGAAATTTATCATTGGGAACATTGTACCCAAACTAAAATATTCCAGACAAAACCATACATTTATTTCTTCATAAAATAGAGACAAAAGTACGATGTTTGTAATTAAATATTATTGATTTGAAGATTGGAAATAAAAAAATGTCTTGGTCACTTTGACATATTGAAAAGTAAGCATCTGGGTAATTTCGAAATAACACGCGACATTGCTGCGTGAAATGAAAGTTACATCTCTCAAAATGAAAAAAACGAGAACATTCATTTTCAATAAAAGTCATTCTTCATTGATTTTATTTCGTTAATACCGACCATGGAGTTTCTCAATTAATAGAATGTTATCAAGCAAAATGTCTGCGTTGTCATCGAGTTCATTCTGCTTTTTTCCTCTTATTTTTCTCTCCTCTACAATATCTCGAATTTTCTATCTGTCGCTTCTCTGAACACCTATTTGTGTTCCTTTTACTTTAATTTCATTCTTGTCATTGTTAATTAAATAATTGTTGTTCTGGCTAGACTTCTGCAATTACATCGTACAAAATGAAGAACTGCGAAAAAAAAACAAATGAAAAATTACGTATGGAAAATCAAAAACTCCTAAAATTGTGTTTCAAGTCTTTTTTACTCTTCAAAAGTGATCACATGAGGTACGTTTAAACTGGAGGAAATTCTTGAACAGTAAATCACTGTTCTTTGTAAACACAGTCAAGCATTTGCCTTAAATTTTATTAAAGTGTCTGAATATTTACCTACATCTGTATATGTGTGTTGTAGTGGTCTGATATCTTGCTATCTACCTTCACATAAAAAGAATCCATCACGTTTTGCAAAGTGTCGTATATGACAGACGATTTCTGAAAGTTGCGTTTATTTATATATACTTGCTAACCTTCGCAGTTATAAAAAAATGTCTATCTCCCAAATTAAAACATTCGCTACCAGCGTTTAGCCAAATCTAACTTTATAGTGCAAGAAGATCCTTGTATTGTAATTGAATTATAGTTAGTACGGAAAATGTAATGAACAAATGATGGCAGATGGGCACTTATTCTATTAATTAGACGATTTTAGTGAACATTAGTGTTTACACCATATAACTGATGAATAATATCAAGTGTTTACACACCAAGGACCAATTGCCTTCCATTTGAAATAAAAATCTCGAAATATGGCGTAGTAGAAAGCTGAAACTGTTTTCTAAACTAAACTCTTAGTGTTCCAAATATAAAGATTTTATTTTATTTTTACACTCTCGTTGCTCGTCGTGTGACAATCGGCGTGCTGCGATGCCGCATAATAGCATTGAGGACCTGTTCTTGCACGTGCGCCCTGAACGTTCAGTCAACAGCGTTCTAACATCAATTGACAAAAGAAGATCGATTCATATTGTTGCGCTGACACCTAAGAAAGTTTAGTTATTAAACGTTTCACTGACCTACAATGATTTTGCTGGTAGTCGATATGTTAATATGGTCTGAGTGGCCATCGAAAAAAATGAGAGTGAATGTGAATACGGATGCATAGTCTTCTTTGTCATTACTTCCGTCAGTGTGATGTTTGTAATTCCCGGGAGGTGGCGGTGTTCCTCTCCCACTACAACGTAAGATCCGGCGCGGACATACACGTCGGTTTGCAGGATCTCACCTCCAGGAATCCTCTTCGCCCAGCCACCGTCCCAGCTGAGACTTGACTCTTCATGGACACGGCAGAATGGTGCATTAAAATGAAGTGTGTGCGTGTGAGTATGAGATTGTGTGTGAGTGTGTGCAAGGGAAGAGGAGGGATGAGGAAGGGAAAATTGCGCATGGTCCTTAGCTCCGTTGTTAGGGTACTGATCCAGGTATTGATCGAAGAGCCCATGGCAAAATATCGATCAGAGCAACCAACCCCTAGAAATCACCTCTAGACTGTGGCTGAATTCGACCTAGCTCTCCAGATACTATCGAAAATCCGACACTGTCGGTCCTCGAAACCTTGTATCTCACGCTTAGAGACGCTGCAGGGGTCACGTATGTTGTCACTGTGCTACATCAGTATAGAGTAATACTTTACTCCATCGCGTACGGCTTTTAAGAAGTGTCATTTCTTGTGTTGCGAGGAAAAGAAAGGAAAGATCGGTTTCGACAAAGTGATCTTAGTTACTAAATCCGGTTTCCCTTATCGAATTTAATATCCCAATATCTGATACATCATATGAATTACAGCAACCTACAGAACATTTAGATTAAAAGGGGAGACTTTTTCTACTAATATCTTTAATAGAATATAGTTATCAGAGCAAGTATTCATACCTTATTTTTCTGCTGACAAAGATTTGTATGTATGTTCTTGGCGCGACGGCCCGTGAACGGGCTCAGGCCTGCTGGCGACGTCCCTGCCTTGCGGCGATGGGGCTGACAAAGATTTAGTTTATAATAATGATGTAATGCAACTTTTAATTAAACGTACAGTGAGAAGTTATTTTTCATTCATTTTTCGTTTTAAATTTGTTTGGACATTTTTCGTCTCAAATCTGGGGGATAACCCTTACAGGGTCTTGTGTCAATATCGCCTTTTAAATCTTACAGCCGGCCGTAATATTTTCTCAGCGTATTATATTAGAGATTATGCGAAAATTAAATATCTTACCCAATACATATTTTATTATGAAATATTATTTCTTTTTACTCAATCATATAGATTTCGACAAGATTTATATGGTATCCACTGAGTTTAATTTAGAAGAGATAGCACAAGTTATGATCAAACTATTGACATTATTTGATTCTATTTTTAATACATTTCCTGAATGGTATCTCCTATTTATTTTCCCACAATTTTTCTCCACTTCTGGTACATTTCTGGACTGTTAGACTATGAACACTTCTCTAGTATCTTTCTAATTTAATTTACAGAAGGAAGACTTTACTCTTCTAGATTTGATGCAAAAACATCAGTACCCCTCGATATTAGGATAAGAATTATTCCCAATTCGTCAGTTTATTCAGTCATGGTTTCCTGCCATGACTTTGTTTAAGTTCACTTCAACATTTTTTTTGACCATTGGCCTACTAACGATACAAGCAAAGTGAAATGCTTAGCTTTTATTGTTTTTGTTTCGAGCTAACCGAACCCATGACTTTCTAATACATTTTCCGTACGTCAACTTGAATTCTCTCCAGATTTGTTTTGTATTTGAACATGGATCCTAACACCTCATCTCATATTCTATAACAGGATGGACAAGAGATATACGCTTAATCTTGAGATTTATCGTACACTTATGTGCGCATTGCAAAATACCACTACTTACACGTCTTTCTCACTCGTATTTGAATCTCTCGGCCTAACTTACTAACCGACTACCAAAGAACGAATACTTAAACGGCGATTCTTGCAAAACAAAGTCGTTATCCGCTTTTCATTGTAGTAATAAGCTTCTGTGTTACTTCAACACCGCTAAATTAGTTGCTTTACTTTCCGATCCTTTCATTTCCTTTCTATATATTTTGCAAATATCGTGTTCCAGTCCAAATGCAAAATATTTTATCCGTTTGATTTCTTTACAACTTTCATTACGCGTTTGAACACGTTACCTTCGGCTAATAATTGTTCTTCCAAATGATGTCACTTGCTATATCACTTAGGAAAGCTCTGAAAAGGAGAGGCTTTGCGGAACCCCTCAAACAACATCGCTGATAATCGAAAACTTGCCCTACATACACTGTTTCATGTCGCTAAGGAACTCATTAATCCGTGAACATAACGATTCAGCTTTCCACTTTTTCTTGGCTATTGGATACTTTACCTTCGTTTACTTTTGAAGTTTTTCGTTTCGTAATGTAATTGAGAAATATTTCAATTTTTTAAAAGTTTTTCCATATTTTTTGACATTAAAGAACCTTAAATAAACGCCACAAAACAAAACCAGTTACTAGTACCCTTTATCTTGATATAAGGATGAAATTTTCCAGAGATGAATTTAATTGTTTATTTAATGTAAGGTATGACTTCGTTGTAACTGCTCAATGAGTAGCAAACAGGAACGTTTATCGGAAAGATCAACTTCACAGTACTCATAAAAACTTTCTATTCTGTGGTAATTGCGTTTATCTGATCTCGCTGCCTGTTATGAATGTTCGTGAACTTTCGAGAGGTTTCATGATAAGGTATGAACACGGACAATGCATGTTCTATTTTTGTAGTAACGCAGTTAATTTCTTGTACGATCAAAAAACTTGAAATCTTACTCAACGATACAAGATACTAGTCATAGGTGTCGTTACCATAGGTAGTGCGAGACAAGTCAACTCGCAAATGAATAGTGTTTTTATGACGTGACATCGCAAAGCGCGATTTATAACCTTCATATAATTTATTGGTCATAATGTATTTTAATAGTTTTTGGACATAATTCAATCATTATGTACATCATATTGTTAATTCAAGGATATTTATACCTATAACTCAGATCCTGTGGTGTTTTAGATTTCCTCTCTAATCACAAATCAAACTATTTTGAGTTCAAAAGTGCAAACATTGAAAAATTTTAAAATTATTGTCAATGGTTGATCAGGGATAAAAATTATTCTTAGGAAATTTTTTACTAGTCTTTATTATTCAGTTCGCGACAATTTATGCAATTCTCAAATATAAAATTAATGTTTCGTTTTATTACTAATCTCTGCTATGGCATTGATGTAAAATAAAGAAAAAGTAAAATTGGAGAAGAACGAAAAGAACAAGAAGAAAGTAACGACTCCATCACATATTCAAGTTCCAACTATTGCATGTAGTTTTTTCTCAATCCACCGCGGGACCAAGATGTACTCTTGGGAGAAGAAAGCTGCCACAGTCTTTTCGAACTTCGGTGCAAACTTTTATCCTTCCGGCTGCACGCCATTTTACTCCTGAGGACGGTCACTGATCTTATCAATACTCTAGCCACTTGTATCGTTATGGGGGCATATCCCAAACATTATAAGGAATTTGTGAATGTTAAAACATACTTCGTGCAGATGTCCATTTCAGTCATCGTTTATCACTAATTATTGATAGTACTCCCCGATCATTGATAATTTGGCAGATTGGACACCCCAACAAACATAGAATAAGGCAAATATACATACGTGAACTCGATATTATAATTATCCACATCGACTTTAAAGATCTATTGCGAAAATCATGTCAAAAAGAAGAATTCTAACTTACAATACAAAGATACAAATCACTGAAATCAGGACTAAACAATAGAATCAACAAAACGAATAAGAAACATTTGATACTTCCCACGCATATTCCGATAAACATGCGCACAAAATAATAAAAAAATAAAAGTTGCGAATGCCCGATATCTCTAACAGCGTCTTCAACTAAAAGAAAAAAGCGCGATCAACGACTCTATCAGTTCTAATTCCGCTCACTATAGGAAACCCGATGAAGTTTCCTCGCAGGATTAATTGTTAAAGTTTTCTTATTAAAACTTAAATCTATTAAAGTGTGACGTATTTATTTATCATCCTAATACATATGCGAGTAAAGTTAAAAATCTTACTCTGCATATTCAAGGTGGCTACGGTCCAGAACTCTGCGCCAGGTAGCATACAAAGGTCTCCGTCACCTCCTTGACCAGTGGTTTTGCTGCTCGTGCATTTGATGTGCTGAGAAACAATCGGCTTGTAAAGATTCAACTCCGTTGTCATGGTCGCAGATCCGCGATTCCACCCCCCGCTACTTTTCTACAGCAGCACGTTGGAATCTGACATCGTTGGAATCTGATCGACCGAAGAAAATATCCTTTGGCCAACGCGCCCCATTTGTCGAGAAGGTGTCGTTCGCAATTCGACACTTCGGCGGATTTCTTGATCGCGATATAGATAACGCACTTCACCGGTCTATGTACAGTCACCGTGGTACCTACCTCTCAAAATGCATCGCGCCAATGTGGCTCGTGAGTTTATGTAGATCACTGTACGTAAAGCGTAGCTCTTAAGGTGGTATGTTCGCGCCAGTGGCTAGTCAAACACTCGATATTTATTACATCTACAGAGTAACAATAGCTTCTTGTAAACGTGGACATAGCATTTAAGTAATTATGTGTAAATACTTAAAAGAGACGTATCGGAGAGTTGCTCTAGAAAAACAATGTTTTCTAATACATTTGGTCCCCCTATGATTTCTCATTTTTGTAATTTGGCAATATCTATTAGAAATGTAGGCTGACTTCGGCACTCGCACAGTTCTTTCTTTCTGCGTTGAATATTAGTCCACATTGTTTAGCATGAAATAGAATTATCGTCAAATAGTATGTGGTTGTGTGTGGTACAAATTTTTAAGTTACTGTGGTTTTATCTAATACCCCTAGAAAAACAGTGGGGACAATAGCAGGATTTTTACAGCATAACTCCTAGGCCAAGAGCTAATACTTCCTGTTGCAATACTTTCATCGTATAACGACTTCAATAAGTTAAAAAAAACCTATGCCCGTGAAGTTTTTCTAAGAACCTGTACCAATTTAAACTTATTAAATTCAAAAACTAGGTGGGTCAGGGCCATTTTTTTCTTACCATCTCGAAGAACAGAGTTTTTGCTTTCATTTAAAATGTTTTTGGTGGGTACTTCACCGTGATCGATTTAACGAACAGATTAACTTGAATCCCTCCGCGTTTAGTTATCTTGCAGATAGAGCCAGATTACATCTAGATGTCGGCATCACTGCGGACCGTAAGCCCTTTCGTCACGCACTTGATCTCATCCTCTTTCACACAACGTCCATCCTTGCCATAGGTGGGATTAGAACCCACATCCTGGATGTAATACGATCCTGGGAGCAAATTCCCCAATCTCATGTGCCACCTAAGCCGTCCAGAAGAGGAAGGAAGAGGGTTGGAAGGTGGTACGTTGTGGTTGGAAGAGCCGTACCTTTCCTCAGCACACATTCATGCTTGAGGTTAGACTCTGTGACCCCTCGAGTCCAGATTGTTAACCATAAGGCGCTTGCGCATTAGCAAACTCGGCTATTAAGATAGGCGGGCAATTTTTAAAATGACTGAATTCCAAGTTCGACTCCAAATTTGAATTAATTTAGTCGCCTATGTGTCAACCCTCCACGTCAGGGTTCTTTCTTAGAATCATGTTCTCGTATAAGACAAGGATATATTATTCTTGTTGTAGAGGCTTGTAAGGCAAAACAAGCCCTTATGCGTCCCATATAATAATTTTAATAATTTTTCATTTTATAGTTCTTCACTAAATGTATATGTGTAAATTCTCTGACATTAAGTTACCACCGAGCCTTTTGGGAAAATGCCCTCACAAGGGAAAGTCACAGAATGAGTGAGAATTGCGAGGTTTAAACGCCGCACGACCATAGCTTCGTCAAATACTTTGGTCATTTGTTTCTTTAGTGTAGTGCTTGTTATGGCCGTGAGGAGGCGGTCTTCCCCTCTCTGAAACGTGAAAACTGAAGTGCGTACGTAGACGGCTTGCGGCGTTTCGTGCCAGCTGCCCCTGCCGGGAGAAGCTCTAAGCTCCCGACTAGTCTCGCGATGTGGGGTAGTGTAGAGCATGTAAGGAGAAAGCAGGAACAAAGATGATCACCCGCAATCCGTGGCCCGTTTGTTTCCTTTCTCTTCTTTGACTTATCCTCACCCCTTACAAACACACTTACTTGTCCTACATTACCACACCTGTCGGGACACTGGTCGAAAGCTTAGAGCTTATCCCGACTGGGGCGGTGTTGGGAGATACTTTTTGATGGGAGATACTTGGTTAGGGAAAACCCCTGGCGCCGACGGTGGGTCGGCGCCGGATCTCACCATTCAGTTGGGGAAGATCACCGCCACCTCCCGAGGAAAAATCAGTTGGTCGAGTCGACGCATGCGAAGTCATCAATCAATAAAATCAATGTGATGCTGATTGGATATATCTTCTTCTTCTTCTTCTTCTCCTTCTTCTTCTTCTCCTTCTTCTCCTTCTTCTTCTTCTCCTCCTTCTTCTTCTTCTTCTTCTTCTGCACTTCAAGGGTTAGGTTCAAGAACCTGTTCCGGTGTCCACTTCCTTCTGGGCCTTCCTACATCTCTTCTCCCTCTGCATCTGTAGTCCACTGCGAGTACTGGTAGTCTGCTGTCGGGCATTCGTATGAGATGTTCATACCATCTTTTCTGATTTCTTTCCAGTTTCTTCAGAAGTGGTTTGACCCCCAGTTTATTTCTTATCTCTGTGCTTTTCTTTTTATCTAGGATATTATAACCTAGAGTGCTTCTTAGAAATTTCGTTTCAGCTGCCTGAATTTTTGAGTTATCTTCTTTTGGAGATATCTCAGAAAAGTATTCGAGCAGCCGGTAGATAAATTTCTTCTCCCGTGGTTGAATTCGACCTAGCGTTCTAGCGAATATCGAAAATCCACCACCGTCGCGACTCGAGCCCTTCAACCTCCAGCCAGCGACGCCGCAGCAGCAACTGCTGTTTGCAGAAAGCTTCTGTAGCCGCTAAGTCTTAGAGTAATGACAGGTTCTGGGTCTAGCAGAGACGAAAGCAATATTGACCTCATGGTTTCCGACTGTCAGCAAATGCCATTATTGGCCGGTGTCATCATCTGCGATACACGGGACACCACGTGTGTGTGAGTATGTGTGTGTGCGTGTGCGCGCTTGACATCCCTCTTCGAATATTCAGACCCCTTAAGCGCCGCCTCTTCACTAGTGCTTAGGCACGACTAAGCAAGCAATCTACTGGCAAGCGAGTGGGCGAGCAAGCCACGAGGGAGAGGGCAGACGGCTGGGCGAACTGGTGAGCGAGCGGTCGACGAAGGGACGAGCACACAGGCGATCTGGCGGGCACGGTGGTGAGAGGGCAGGCCGACGGGCAAGAGGGCGGGAGAGTGGATGAACGGGCGAGAGAGCGTATGGTTGGGCCGACGGGCGTCCGGGCGAGATTTGGTGAACGGATGGGCGGCAAGACGGGCAGACAGCCGAGAGGCGAGCGGTCAAGAGGGCGAGAGGAAGAGAGGGCGGCCGAGAAGGTGGGCGGGCAAGAAGAGAGGTGGACGAGAGAGCGAGCAGCTGAGAGAGCGGGCGACCGAGAGAGTGGACGAATAAGAGAACGAGCGGACGAGAGGGCGATCGGTTGGGAGGGCGGCCGAACGAGAGGACGGGCGGACGAGAGGACGGGCGGACGAGAGGACGGGCGGACGAGAGGACGGGCGGACGAGAGGGCGAGAGAGGTTGGCGGGCGGGTAGGCGAAAGGGCGGGCAGACGGGCTTGATCTTGCAAGCGGCGGAGGGCGGGCCCTTGGGCGGGATGGTGGGAGGGCGGGCGGCGCCCAGAGACGCCCCGGGACGCGTGTCCGGCGACAGGAAGCGATAGGGCCGTCCTCCCAGGGCGCTGCGGGGCGAACGCTCCCCGGGCCGCCCCGCCACGGTCGATACGGCCACCCGCGCCCGCGCCCGCGCCCAAGCACAAGGCCCGCTGCGCAATGCACACTGGGCCCGATCTGGCCTCCTAACGGCGTTCGCAGCTAAAGGGGCCGATCCAAACCCGCAAGCACAGACTAAAACAAGGGAAGGCTATAATGGTTTTAGGCGTGTGCAGCCTAAACCAAGAGGGGGGAACACTTATTTCTTATGACCCCTTTTTATATTATACTATTTTACAGGTATATAACTAAAAAAGAATAACACTTAAATTTCGTTATGACTCCGTTTTATATTATACTATTTTTACTTGTAAATAAGTAAAAAATATAATTCAAGCAGAACTAAAAAAAATATACTTATACAATTAATATTGATTTTATGTTGTAAGTATTTTCAGGGTTGCCCGATTGTTTGAAGAGCTTCTTTCCCAAACGTCATTGAGGTACTAAGAATAATAACGGCATATCCCATCCGAAGTTCGTTTTTGAAAAATTACTTTTTCTCTTTTCACTCACGTTCATTTTCACTGCGGTCGAACTTGTGAAGATGGAATTTGAGGGCCTCAGCATATCCCAATTTATTTGATATTTCTGGTTATGACAGGTCACATTCAGGTCAGGCTATATCAGGAGATTATCACTATACTTCTTACTGAAAATGCGAGATCAGTTGGGATCTGCCGTTATCCTGAGGGCCTCAGTTCCTCAAACTGTCAGCCCCAAAGGCGCGAAATCAGGAATTGATCATAATTACGGAAATAAAATATTTCAATACGACGGACTACGGGGGCCCCTCACGAAATTTTCAGGAGGGAGAACCGCCCCTGCTCCCCCACGCCCTTGTGTGCACGCCTATGGGTTTGACCGAGTTATTTTTTGTAAAAATGAACTTTTTTGATATAACAAATCTAACTAGGGGAAAAGGTCCTGCATTCATGATATTTATTAACTGCATTAAGCCATCATAGAATACGTCTTTAGATTCGACTCATTTGTCTAGATATGGAGTAGAAATGGATGGGGGACGATTTAATTTCTTAATAGATTCCACCACTAAGAGTTATCCTGTTTGGTTGTATTATGTCCTTTTAATAGTACTGTATTACGGAAAGGATTTCAACAGTCCGACGTCTGTTAAGAATAATAAAAACAAATAGGAAGTAGCTAAATATGGAAAAGGAAAGGAAAGGTTGAAGGTCACAGTCCATCCCTAGCAAGCCGATACGATGAGCAATGATCCTGTCCGTTTTGGCAGTTTTTACAGAAACTGCGTTTGCTCTTCTAACAATGCTAGAACACTTCGTAGTAAAACAACATTCTCGATTAAAAAGGCATTTGTATTTAGGAATTACATGTCTCTTAAAGGACAATTGCGTCCTCGGCACCGTTAGATCTCGGAGTTCGTAGTCGGCCACCCATCCAGGAACCCGCGATGCCTCGAATTCGCTTAACCTTCGTGACTTCACTTAGTTAACTAATTTGGCTAGCGACGCCGGTTTCGCGGTCGTGGCCTTTCATTGGAAGCATCCCAGCATTTGCCTGGATGACTAAGGGAAACTACGAAAACCCCAGTTAGGATGGTGGCGATGGACCGAATGCGACGTGATCGCGCTACCTGACACACTTTGCTTGGCTAAAAAGGAATCCAACCACTTAAACGCATTCAAACACAAAAATATTTAAATTTATTAAAATCGCACAATACAAGAAATAAATCATTAGGACATTTTACCAAATAAGATTTTAAAAAGTATAGTAGCATTCTATCACTACCAACAAATGCTGGTGAAATATATTTGCTCCACTAAAAACTTGAAACTTTAGGAAACCACCTTCAAATCAACGTTAAGCCCAATCATACAACGTATCATCAATATCAGAATCTACAAAAAACTAATTCCCTCATCTTCAATGTGTCTCACAAAATACAATATACTTTTCTCATGACATCATAATTCTAATGCGGAAAATTCCAAAGAATTGCTTGAACATCTGATAAAAACAAACGAATTATTTTAAAAATACTACTTCGTCATCCATTACACAACTACATAATATTTACGATTCTATCTTTCGAGGGATTACTTTCTCCCATTTTGGAACCACTAAATTATCCACTCTCTTCTAAAAATCAATAAAATAAATTCTGCTTCAAAGAATTATCAGTGATATTGATATATCTTTGAAAAAACGTTTTTCAATAGTTAAAACAATCTTAAAAATATTATAATCAAACAATTCATCAATTAACTTCATTGCACAACATTATGGTACTTATCTGGTGTTCAGACTAATTGAATATATGTTCACGGTATTTCAGAATAAACAACACGACCTAACTACTTTCCAGGGTATCACCCAAGCATTCAACAGCATCTGGCGATCTAGATTAATCTATAAATCAATAATAGATGGTGCTATTACGCCTATTATAAACGTAATTAAACACTATTTAAGCAACCGCCCTTTTTCCAATAGTAGTAAACATACTTTGTTTCACTACCCTTACCATCAAGTCCGGCGTTCCTCGAGGTAAAACAGCGTCCTTGACACTTATCATTAATCTGAAGACAATCCTCCATCTAAAGATTCAAACTTATCCCTGTTTGCAGATTCACGATATTCATAGGATATTTCCTAAACAACCTCCAATCACTAATGAAACAATCATTTAAGTAAACTAGTAGAACTACAACATCACTTACTTTTTCGAATTATTTCTAAATATTCAAGTCTTGAACATTCAGAGAGTTGAACGCAAATCGGACCTCGGTCATTCTTTCAAGCGTTTCTTGCTCTATTTCTCCCCCCATACGTCAAGTACAGTTTTCCTTTTTTTTACTGCATAAATCGCGAACGCGGGTTTGCGCCCACTGGGACGCGGAGGAGGCGCGCCCCAGGGTTTCGCCGGCGGTCCCCTTCGGCCTCCTGGACTTTGCAGCAGCCGCCTCCCGCGCCCCCCGCACGCTGTTCAGAAGACCTTGGCTCGCTTCCCTAATCGTGTGTAAAACTTGGATTTATCCTGTGACTCTGTTTTCCGAAACGCGCAAGGCTCGCACACGTACAGCCGCTGGACGGCCAATGAAGACCTTTCTCTCTGTCGAACGCATAATCGCTGGCGGCGCCCGAACGCAGAGTTTCGAATTTGGGAGCGTCCGCATGTCAGTACGAGCGGCGGGAGACGCCCAGGTCGCAGGGTGTGAACTCACAGTTTCATAGACTTTCATCTCTCAAACGGTTCACTTCGAAATATCTGTAAGCGTCCGCATTAGTTAACATGTTTTTGACCAGCGTGTTCTGTATTTTAAAACTTGAACTTAGAATTCAAGAATCACTATATATAGCCGATAGCTTTTATCCTTGGGAATATAATACGCTGCAAATTCTTGTAATATAAAATTTGAAATTCAAAACATTTGAATTCATGACACACTGGGCATTTCAATTTACCGAAATTATGTAATTTTAACATTTTGTATTTTGTGGATGTGACTAAACTCTACAGCTTCATAACTTGACGACGTGAACTTTGAATGAGATTGATGATTATTCTGTTTCTGTTGCCCTAAATCTGGCTAAATGTGTTTCTCACAACCGATAAGCTCGGATATGTATATCGGGCTTTGTAATCCTCCCCATCAAATATAACCGCAGGGCCAAAGTTTAAGGGGGCGCTAAAAGCTGACTGTATCATGCGTGAGAGCGCTAAGTGTCCGCCCTAGTTAGGTAGCGCGAGTGGTTGGGCAGCTGCGACACGGGTGATATGGCCTGGAGGTTAGGCTCTGCCAACTTCAACCGCATAAAAATTGGCTTATTTGTAGAAATAGAAAAAATCACAACCTTTTAAATGTTCCTTATCGTAAATATACACATATAAGAAACCGGCTGGTTTGAACATCAACGCATCTTTTTATAACATTTTCGCGTGCTTGCGCATTGCAC